CCTATCAAAAAAATACACGCAGATTTCCGCGAGGAAATTTGCGAGGATTCCGCATGTAAATACACGACTAGTTTTGGGCTTTTACGCGAGTAATATGCATGTAATTCCTCGAGGATTTTTTTACTTCAAATTTTTTTTATTTTTTTATTTAACGCGTATAATTTCGTACGGAATTTTAGACTTCAACATTCTTTTAATTTTCGTTTTTCGTGCTCATTTTTTCGAAAATTCTAAAAATAAAAATTTTTTGCATTGTAAGCATTTAGCATGTAATTTTTCAAGGATTTTAGGCCCAATCAAATATTTTTATCCTTTTTATAAGTCTAAAATTTCGAATTTTTTCATTCCTCCTTCTTCACGTTTTCTTTTTTTTCTTTCTTTCACGAGGAATTTTAGAATTGAAAAAATTACTTTTTCATTTTCTGTGTGAATTTTTTTAACAGCATTTTAAACTTTTAAGGTTTTCTTTTCATTATTAGTTTTCCGCGCGTGATTCCGCGAGGATTTCAAATTTGAATTTTTTTCCATTTTTTATTTCAGGCGTTTAATTCCGCAAAGATTTTAAACTTGAAAAATTGTTTGCATTTCGTGTTCAGTGTATCTTTTTTAAAGAATTTTAGTCTTTAAAATATTTCTTTTTATCATCGCCGTAATTTCGCAACGATTTTAGACTTGAAATTTAGTTTTTAATTTATTTTCACGTGTGTAATTTTGTTTCACTTTTTGAATTCATTTTTTCGAGAATTTTTGTTTCTTATGTCTAGTTTCTTACGTGCTTGGGCTTGTAACTTCGCGATTATTTTTTCTTTTTCGCTTTTTTGAGTGTTATTCTATAAGAAACTTAAAAGTAATCATTTTTTTCTCATTTTAGATTTTTGCGTGCAATCAGAACATTTGTTCTTTCTCTTATAATTTTGATGAATAACCATTTTTAATGAAGCAGTTGAAGAAAACAAAAATTTTAATTTAACTGCTCTGAGAACACCCTAAAAAGATTCTTTAAATGAACACGTAATTTTTCAGTTTTAAATTTTGATTCAAGATTTGATTTCAGCTATCCTAAAAACCTATGAGCAAATATTTTTGCCCAGATTTAAGTTTAAATTTTTGGTCAAAATTTTGGAATTTTTAAACTTTAACAAAATTTTTAGTTTCAACAGGTCTTAAAACCCTAGAATAACTACACAGAAAAACCCTTTAATTAAAATATGCCGACAGAATCTGTTCATTTTGATTCGCAACAAGAATGGACCAATTTGGTGGCTCCACCGTCTACGTCGTTTAGTATTGGCTCATTTTGAGTTGCAATAAAAATGAATCCAGCAAGCTCAAAATGAGTTCCAATTTTTTCTGTGTATTGATAAAATAAAGTTACTTTTTTAAATGCTGCTATTAGGTCAGGACAGAAAAGTGGACGCAACATTTTTGCTTTTATGGAGGATGTTCTCATTGAAGGGATTCATAGAAAATGTAATATTTTTTAGTCGTACAATACCAATGATCGAGATTCAACACCATCTCACCTATATAATATTCCTAGAAGACGTAAATTTGTTTTTTTCTTGATTTTTCCCAGAAGAATAATTTTAGAAGTACAGTCGACTCTCGATAATTCGAAGTTCAATAATTCGAAATTTTCGTTAATTCGAAGTTATTGGACAGGCGTTTGCCATTTGTATCTTAACCAATGTAAAAAACTCTCGTTAATTCGAAACAGTAAATTTGCATCTTTCGATAATTCGAAATTTTGGAGCTTTTCAAGCAGGCGCATGTATATGGCAGGCAATGTTAAAACCGCTTGATAATTCGAAATCTTCATGAATCGCTTTTCCATAATTCGAAATTCTTTCCTTCGCCTGTTACGTATCAATACCATGTTTTTGTTTACATTATTTAATTTAAAACATTTTTATAGAAAACAGATTGTTATGAATCTTTTAGCATCGATGAACTCTAATAAAAATTTTAAGATAGATTACCTAGTCGCTAGTAGATTACTGAAAACTGCTTAGCAGAAAGTATAATCAACAACAATAAATAATTGCTTTGCTAAGGCTGGATTCTTTCCATACGTGGAGCCTGAAATAAATTTTTTGTTAAACGATACATCTATTGACACTTTTTGGACAGAAATAACGAAAAAAATTAAATACGACGAATATTTGAGTGTTGATGAAAGTTTATCCACATTCGGAAGTATGACTGACAATGAGATTGTTGCTGAAGTTTGGAATAAGAAAATTCGGAAAGATGAGTCATCAGATGAAGAACAAGAAGCAGGTGAAATAGAAAAAAAAGAAATCCCTGCAGTATCACAAGCATCAAATTATGTTGAAAAATTGAAACTATTTGTTGAAGGTCAGGAGATTGTAGCAGACTCTGTTTTATTCGCTTTACAAACATTAGAAGAATTTACTTTAAATATGGAAATTAAACAAAAAAAAATTAGACGAAAATAATAAGTTATTTTAATGTTTAATAATACTGTTTTAATATTGTTTTTATTATTATTTTTATGTCTATGCTACTATTGCTCAGCTTTAAAATAAAGGAATAAGCATTCGACAATTCGAAATACTTGCAGCTTTCTATAGTTTTACGATGTTTAATTCGAATTTCGATAATTCGAAATTCTCGATAATTCGAACTCACAGTACAGGCGTTTCAATTTCGAATTATCGAGAGTCGACTGTATTAAATTCTTCTTATCTTACGGTTTTAATCACATATTAAATGTAAGTTTAGATTTGAAAAAAATAGATTTTTTTCAACAGATTTGATAGACGTCTTGAGGTTTTTATACAACAATAGTCATGAATTGGCAAAAAGTAAATGAATTTATTTGAATTTAATAAATGGGGATATAATTAATAATATATATAATATAATTAATAATATAATTAATAATCAAAAAAAAATAAATAATAAATATAATTAATCAAAATTAATTATAATTTTAATATTAATAATAATAATAATTCGAAGCGCTAGGCCACACTGCTACAGAAAGAGGCTTCTGGTATTTTCTTTCCTGAAAATAAAAAATTATTCTTTTTCTATTAAAATATTATTAGTTAATTAGTTGGAATATTTAACACTTGATAACACTGATTTTGGAATAACAAATGTCAAGGCTGTTTTCGATAGATTTTTTCATGATTTTTTTCATGTTGATTACGAATCCGTAAGTGAAAAATTATCATCAGTTTTAGGTTTTGAGAAAAAATGGGTTAAAGTTTCTAAAATTCGCGTTTTTGAACACTTTATTTTGGTAAACTTTGCTAATCCTCTAGCGATAAAATAAAAGGTTATAATATCTTGTAGTTAACTGTTCGCCCGACACCCGGGTCTAGCTTACCCAGTTTTATATTTCTTCAGGTTTTTTTAAAACAAGTTCCATTTAAAGAGGTTTATTCGTAATTAAAATTTCAATAAAAATCCTCTTATAAAGGTAAAGTTAGAAAAAGTCTCATTTACAGAGGGAGCATACCTCTTATAGAGGTGGACTTCCACTTATAGAGGAAATATTTTTAAAAATCAGTTCCACTTATAGAGGTAACAGCTCCCATTTATAGAGGTTTTTTACATTATTTTGCGCTACTTGTGCAGGGACTACAAAACAGTCTCACTTAAGGAGGATTCCCACTTATCCAGATTTGACTGTACTGTAAGGAGTGGTCACATGTACGACGATTTACTTCGGTAGCTCGGTCCAAGCAGGAAAGTACTTCTAAGCGGGGAAATACCTAAAGCGGGGAAATACTTGTGGTTGGGGAAAATGCGATGAGTCAGTCTCTCCTTGCCCTTCTGCGTGCGAAACGTGTAAATTTGTATATTAACTCTGGTTATTTAAATATATGTATTAAATGTTCTTTTATTTGTTTTAATTATCCGCAAATCCCTTACAGTACTTGAAGTGAAGGTGCAAGAATATAATGAAAAGATTAAGCTTTACTTGGGCTTAAAAAACAAGTAGAAGGTTGGTGATCTTTTGTTCTATAGTTATATGTATTCAAAGCTTGCTAAAAAGGCAATTTGTAGGCTATTTAACCCCCTTTTTTCTGATGTTAACTTTGCACTTACGGATTCGTTATTAATATTAAAAAATATACTAGAATAAACTTTGGAATTTGCTGTACCAAGAAAAATTTGTAATTTTGTTGACCTGCGTAATTAAAATATATGTAATATTACATATACGTATTTATTAAAGAATTTTAATGTTTACTTCTGATCGTTTCGGGATACAGGGTTCTTCTGAGATAACCAATCTGCTGACTCACATAATAATTCATTTTGCTCAACCTTTTAGCTTCATTCTTCTTATTTATATACTTTTTAAAGCATCCTGCAAGGAATAGCAGTATAAATATAACAGTACTTTATACAAGATAATTGGTAATCAGACTTCAATTCGAGATAATTTTATTTCAAACTTCAATATAATAAAATGACAATAACCTTACCTTCAACTACTTTCATCTTTTTAGGTGTCAGTAATTTTCTTGGCGACCTATTTGGAATTGATATAAGATCTTCTGAGTACTCCACACACCTATTAGCCAGTTTCTGACGAGTCCATATGCAAGTCGCTAAGTTTTTCACATAAAGTGAATCTTTTTTTTCTTTTTGTATTAATTTCCAAGATTCATGTTTGATAAAAACATCGTGTCCCAAATGAATCTTTTCAACCTACGATAGTAAGATAAGTAAATGTTACTTTATAATTAGTGTTTCAATAATTTCTTGCTAACAGCAATATTTGCTCATTTAGAACATATGAACCATTTCATAATATTATAACTATTTAAATTTTATAATTATTCTAAATAAATTATTTATTTTTTTCAAAATATCAATAGAAGTACGTGAACGAAAAGTTTATGTTTACCTTCCTATTATTTTCAGTTCTTATTGAAACAATAGCAAACTTTTCTAGTTCATCATTTTGTTCATTAACGTCATTATCGGAACCACCTAAAAAATTACCATTATTAATATGGGTGATTTCATATTAAGTTTTCTAGTCATAAATTTAACGCTTACAATTAAAGCAGGGTTATTAAAATTTCAAAAATGGCATTTTTAAATGCATAACATTATAATTAAATTTTATGAGAGGATGTTCAAAGGAGGAAATATTTTAGATAAAATGATTTAATATATTTAAAAAAAAACAATTTTAGTCAGTAATAATATATAAGCAATCTCAAAACATATGGCTAGTGATTTTTAAATGTTTAACTCTGCTTTTTGGAATTGAGGCTCCCGATAAAGTAGAGTGCCCAACGCTCAGACGGTTACTCTAATGGTAGTCCGGTAGCAGTAAGCGCCTCTGGGCCGCTTACTCCTACCCGACTACAATTAGAGCGGCCGTCCGAGCGTCGGGCGCGTTATTTTATCGTGAGCCTCAATTGGTGTAGTGTAGAGAAGTTGTTAGAATTTGAGAGAAGGATGCATATTAAAGGCGTAGAGCTGGAAGGAGAAGGGGGAGTGGATGAGAGATTAAAAAGGCTGAAGGCGGTAATAGAAGGAGTTAGAGAAGAGATGAAGGGAGTGGGAGTTAAAAATGAAAGAAAAGGGTGGTGGGATGAGGAGTGTGAAAGAAGCAGAGAGGAGATGAGGGAATATATAGGGAATGGAGAAGAGGGAAGATGGAGAGTACAACTGGAAGCATAAGAGGCATGAGAAGCTGGTGAAAAGGAAAAGAGAGGAAGGAAAAGAGAGATTCTTGGAAGAGGTAGAGAAGGCGATAGAAGAAGGTAGAGAATGGGAGGTGATTAATAGGGAAAGAGGTAAGGGAAAGGGGGTGAACAGGGAGATCAAGATGGAGGATTGGACGGAGTATTTCAAGGGATTAAATGGGGGAATGGATAATAGAATAAGAGGAGAAGGGAGAAGAAGGGGTAGGGAGATGGAGATGGGTGGAATAAGTAGGGACGAGGTGGATGCAGCAATAGGGAGATTAAAGAAGAACAAGGCAACAGGAGGAGAAAGTTTAAAAAATGGAGGGGAGGCTGTAAGGGAGGAATTGTGGCAAATAATAAACAAGGTATGGGAAGGTGAAGGTTGGCCGGAAGAGTGGAAGACTGGCTGGATAGTGCCAATAGTAAAGAAGGGTAGTGGGAGGAAGGTGGAGGATTGTAGAAGTGTAACGCTGATGCCGGTGGGATACAAAGTTTACGCTGAGATTCTCAGGAAGAGATTGGAGGACAGGGTGGAAGATTTGGGATGTATTCCTCACAACCAGACCAGATTCAGGAAGGGCATGGGTACAGTGGACAACAAAAATTGGGGCTTGAGCAGGGTTTAATTGAAAGAGTGAAGGAGTGCTACGAGGAGACAAGAGAAAGGGTGAAAATAGGGGAGGAATTAGGGAAGGATTTTTGGTTGGGGAGGGGGTTGAGGAAGGGGTGTCCATTGAGCCCTGTTTTATTCAACTTGTTGATGGCCGACTTGGAGGAGAGGATGAGAAGGAGAGGGAAGGGGGGAGTTATTTTAGGGAAGGGAAGAGTGTATACCCTGGCGTATGCAGATGATGTGGTATTAATGGCTGAGGAGGAGAGTGGTTTGAGATTGTTGATGAGAGAGTTTGAGTTGTATGTGAGAGAAAGAGATTTATGGGTAAATGTGGAAAAAACGAAAGTCATGAGATTTAGAAAGAAAAGAGGGAGGGATAAGGAAGTATGGAGTATGAATGGGAAAAGCATGGAGGAAGTGAGTGAATTTTGTCATCTGGGATATTGGTTTAAATGGAATGGGAGTCAGGATTTGAATGTGAGTAAGAGGATTGAGAAAGGGGGGAGAGTGATGAAGCAAGTATGGGGGATTAGGGAAAGAAGATTTAAGTATGATTGGAGAAAGAGAATTTGGTTGTTTGATGTGGTGGTATGGTCGGTTATAAGTTATGGGGTCGAGATATGGGGATGGAGAGAGAGTGTCCAGGGTATATGCTAAGGGAGGAATTGGGTAGGAAAAAGCTGGTCATAAGGCAGAGAAGAAGAGCGATGGGGTTAGAGGAAAAGCTAAAGCAGGGGAAGGGGAGTAGGGTGGCACAGGCGTGTTGGGCTTTGGTGAAAGAAGGAGTAAGGAGAGGAAGGAAGGATGTATCGGGATGGGAGAGAGGGAGAAGAGGGGCTATGGAGGAAGGAAGAAGATGGAGTGAAGTGGAAGGAGATGTAAAGGATGGTTGGAGTAGGAAGGATAAGCAGCAAAGGTGGGAAAGGATAGTTGGATCGCGATACAATAGATGGTACAGGATGGTGAGAGGGGAAGGGTTACCGGGGTATCTAGAGAAGAAAAAGAAATATGAAGAATAGAATAGGGTGTGCAGGTTCAGAATGGGTGAAGGTATGAAAGAATGTAAGTATTGGATGGATGAGTTTGATAAATAATGTAGAATATGTGGGTATGAAAGAGAGAGCTGGGCGCATGTGTTGGATAGATGTGTGGGAGGAATGGATGAGGGAAAAAGAGTGGGGGAAAGAGTATGCTGGATTTTAGAAGAGAATGGACAGGGTGAAAAGTGGATGAAAGGTTTAGAGAGAATGAGAAAAGAAAGAATGAGGGGTTGTTAATTAAGGGGTGGGCGTTTTGTTTATGTTTTCTTTGGGGGGCGAAGCCAAAAAGGGCAATTGAAACTAGAAACGGAAGCCCTGGCACATTGACGGATATAGATCTTATAGATTTAAGTTAGATTAAGTTTTGCGATTAGGTTAAGGATTTATGTATTTAGAAGTCTCGAACCCTGCGTATGCAGAGAGAGTAAATAAATTTTTAAAAAAATTTTTAATTTTTGAACTAACAACGGATTCAACAACTTGATCAGCAACCTCACAAACATTCCATGATTCAAATTTTATGAGATTAAATCTTTTAGCGTAATTATTTGTTATTCATAATGTGTTTGCCATTTTGAATTTCAAATAACCGGCACAGAAAAATTTTGAATGTCAATACAAATTTTGTACTAGCTTTTAAGTTTGTAGAAAGTCAATAGTATCCTCACGAAGGCTGAAACCAAATATGTTCTTCTGGCTCGGAAGTTATGTGGCGAATTAGTAACCAGATAGTGCCAATAAAAAAAATTTGCCCAATTACAGACAATAGGAAGAGTAACACGAATCTAAACAGAACAATTTTTTGCTTCGAGTTTCGGGTGCGAAACAGCTACACAGCCCATTTTTACTCTCAACGCTTTGACGCCGCAACATCGACAATATCTGACGTGGCACATCCTGCACGTGTTCAACGTCGTCATGAATTCCATCTTTACCAAATCTATACCATCACTAAAAGAAGATCATGAAACTTCCTTGCAAACTCCAAGCCTCCTCTCCTCCTTGCTGCGATCAGTCTGACACCGTCAGACGCCATAGTTCCTGAGTAGCATCGGACCATCCATAATTCCAGGCAATAGTTTTTGGAGAAATCACGAATGCTATGAGAATCATGCCAACATAACGGCGGTGTTAGACAGAGGAATCGTATTTATTTTAACCGGCATAGATTCAGATAGTCGTGGCCATATATGCCTACACATTTCTGTCCTTTTCTTTATTATCTGTTTCCATGGTAATGTGAATAAGAAAACGACAAAAATGAGTAAGCATATCTGGCCGGAAGTGTATATACCAAAAATCTAGCAGCATTAAAGTGACAATACCATTGAGTAAGAACATTATGCAATTTTGCAAAGAAGAATCATAAGAAATGTCATGGAAGAATTATGAGATAAAGAAAGAAATTATATGAGAAAAGGTCAGAGCAGAGTTTCTAATGACCCTACCTAAAAGCTACTGCGCTTGCGCTACGACAACTCTCTTATAGGTTGAAAAAAGCGCGCTTATTTAAAATGCTTAATAATAAGAAAACCTTAATAAAGCAATATAAAAATATTTTCACTATTGAATTTATTTTTTTTGTTAATTATATTGCTTCTTAATAAAAAAAATATTAATTTACTTAATGTACTTAAGTGTGTAAAAATAGTAATAATAATAATTATTGTAATTTTATTATATTTTTACACACATAAGTACATAAAGTAAATTAATATTTTTTTAATTAAGAAGCAATATAATTACCAAAAAAAAATAAATTCAATAGTGAAAATATTTTTATATTGCTTTATTAACGTTTTCTTATTATTAAGCATTTTATATAAGCGCGCTTTTTTCGACCTATAAGAGACTTGCCGTAGCGCAAGCGCAGTGGCGTTTAGGTAGGGTCATTGGCAACTTTAAGTCAAAGTTTGCGTGGTTTGTCTTTTTTTAAATATACCAGAAAATTCGTCAATTCAATTAAAAGTTGTCGAATTTTTTAGTACGTTGAAAGTTACATGACGTAGGGCACTGAACGAGTTTGGTTCAAGAAATGAACTCTCACTGATCTATAGGTACCATGACATTCAGAAATCAGGGGAAATGAAAGCAGATGTCTTGGATTAAATTGGGTCCCAGAGAAGACCCGGTACCATGATAACTCTAGTATAGAAAGGGCAATAGGCGAGGGTGATTAAGAGAATCATAGAATTTTAAAGTCAGAGAAGAAGTAAAAGAGAGTGTAGGTTAGAATCAGGATGAAAATACAGACTAAGGCTCTGCAGGAATTAAAACTCAACAGAACCTTTGTGAGAATTTTTAACACTCAATCATGTCAGTCAGAACTGTGGTTTATTTGATCATGAGGCATAGCTTTCTCAACTATCAAGACAAAATATGTAGACAGGTGTATCTAAGGGAACGTTCACATATGACGTCACGCATTAGGGAGTAGGGGGGGGTCTTGGTCAAACGTGACAAAACGTGACATGGCGTACGGGAGGGTTAATTTCTTTCGTGATGTCACGAAGTATGTTTACTACTTTTATAGTAGAATTTTGAATTTGATACCTTTTCCCGCGAATCGAATAATTTAAAGCGTTGTTTAAAGAAAAAAATTATAAACTTACGGTAAAGTTTAATAATTTAAGACATTGTAAAAATAAAAAAAAATAAAAAAAAGCTGCAATAATCAGCTGCTAGTTTTAAAAAATTGCTGAGAAAAGATTAAAAATGAACTGTTGTGATTATTAATAATTAAAAATCAAGTATTACTTTTAATAATGAAATTAATTTTCATTGTTGGAAAAATGAGTTATTAAACTTTAAGTTTAATAACTCTGTTTAAGCATAAAATATTTATAAGTATATAATTGCAAGAAAAAATAAATTATTTTTATCAGAAACCCTTTTTATTACATTTAAGTAATCTTAACATTTATTATTTCTTTAAAAACAATTTTAATACCTTAGAAAATTTTTAAGATTTAAAAAAGGGGGGGTGTTTAAAGAACATTATCAAGGGGATCTTGTCAAATCGTGACAGAGCGTGACAAAGGGGGGGTAGGGGTCAAAAAAGCTGAAAATTAGCGTGACGTCATATGTGAACGTTCCCTAAGTGTAAAATATAGTTATGTAGCTATCAATGTTGAGGTCAAGTATTTGTTGAACCAGAATGACATTGCAACCAAAGTGAATTTTTTTCTCTAGAATTCTGGAGGACAGGTTTACGAGTGGATTCGTATGTTTTGAAGTAATTAGAGGGATAGGTTTCTACTTAAAGACCTAGTCTTGAAATAGGGAATCTCAACTTAAACTTACTTACACAGAAAATAACTGAACTCAAAATTAGTCGCGTAGGTGGCTCATTTTGATGTGCAACAAAAATGAGTCGGGTTTGTGGCGCCACCGTCTATGTCGTTTAGCATTGACTCATTATGAGTTGCAACAAAAATGAGCTCAGGTTTTTTCTGTATAAAGTAGATTAGATTAGAAGCTCATTTTACATTTTATTTTTCAAAAAAAAAATTTTTGAAACAGATGAAAATAAAAAACTTTGACCAATTAACGTTCTGAGGAATTTTATGCTGATAATTTTTGTAAAATAATTTAAAAAAGCAGCTGCCAAGTTTAATGATGAATTTTTTGTGCTCATTTTTTTGTTTTTTCTCTTTTAAAAAATAAAACTCAAAAATGGTATTTTTCCAAAGTTTTAAATTTTTAAAATTTTGATAACTTATTAATTTCAGGATGTATAAGGCTCAAAATTAGGTCAATGGATTCGATCTTAAATGCTCTAAGTTGATTATTATACTTTGAAAGCCACAGAAAGATGTTTCACCAATTATAGTAAGAAATTCAGGTTTTTAAAAAATTTTAATTTTTAAAATGTTAATGATTCTGGATAGAATAAGAGTCAAATGTTCGCTAATAGTTTAAAAGATGCGTCTTGAAACGTTCTACAACCTGTAACAAAATTATCTGTGCGTGTCAAACCTTTTTCAAAAGTTATGAGCAAAAAACTTATTGTGTTTTTAAAATTTTTAAATGTAAATAACTTTGGATATAATAATGGTAAAATGTTCGCCACACACATACACACACACATCATTTTTTAAAAATTCGATCTTTGCACTTTTGAGGTCATAAAAACATAAAGGTAGTGCTAGTCTTGATTGAGCATATTTAAACTTATTTCCAAATAAAAAAAAATAATCATACCAGAGTGTTCTGAATCCATTTTATATCGTTTTGAAGCTTTGCGAAACGTAAGACTAGATTGCGAATTTGTGTGCCTCTTTTTCTTTTTTAACTGAGATGATTTGGAAGTACCGGGCTTCTCAGCAACAGAAGACATACTATCAACTTCAATCTCTGTATCGCATTTAATATTCATTTATTATTCAATTAATATTTAATATTTGTTTCAAAAAGATAACATGGTATTTTTTAATGTAAATGATCAGTAAAATTAATGGATTATTTTTAATAACAACATAGTAAAACATTTTTCTTAAAATGTAAATGAACTTTTTTCAGTATAGCCTTATATTATTTAGAAGCTTCAAATAAGTTCAATCTTCTACTTAATACTTACTTTTAGCTGTTTCACTGTACGACATTTAAGGTTTCTACGTTGTGACTTTATTTACCGTGAACATACTCACAGTTACCGTATTTACACTGCATGCTTAAGTATTACTTAAATTACTTTACTATGTAAAAGCGAAACAGTATGAAAAGATGCCTTTAATAACTGCTGCTAACTGCTGTTAAAATCAATGCGCGCGCAACATCTCGTTCACTCATTTTACGCGTGGTTTTAGTGAGGTTATATTCGCAGAATTTATTATCGTTATTTCCATTGGCTGATTCCCTCGCTTTGTTATAAATAATATTATAAAACAAGCATATTCAGAGAATATAACCTCACTAAAATCATACAGAAAACGAGTGAATAAGACATATTGCGCGCGCATTGATTTTAACAACAGTTGGCATAAGTTATTAAAGGCATCTTTTCATACTTAACTTATGTTTCGTTTTTACATAGTAAAGTAATTTAAGTGGTTTAGCATGCGGTGTGAATACGGTAATTATACCTTAAATTACGCACAGAATATTGACTGAATTTAAGTAAAACGTTTTATTGTGAAGAACATTTAAATTGTGTTTAAAACATAGTAATTTAACAAAACAATTAAATTTTCTAATTCAACTTTTTTAAAATTATTTCCAAACATTTACTTCTAATTAAATCTAAATTATTAAATTCTATGTTTACTAGGTTTCAATTTTAAAAATATCTAAACAAAAATTTTATAAATTGAAGAAACATTTAAAGTTTGACCAAAAAAATTCGGTAAGAGTTTTAATTAAATATTCAAGAAAATTATATTTAAATCCTAGATGGTACTGGTTTACAGTGCATATTATAACAAATTATCTCTTTTACTTTGAGTTTCTTAAAAAAATTAACAAAATATATTTTATAATATTATTATTATCGGATATCACAATATAAATATTAAACAGTGCTAATGTTAAATCAATCTTTTTTAACATTAATTTTGCGAAAAAAGAAAACAATTAAAATCATACCAGATTCACTTGAAGCTTTTCGAGATGGTTTTGAATTATTTCGATAATTCTTGCGTGCTTGAGAGAGTGAATGTTTTCTCTTCATTTGCTTTGGTTGACGACTATCATTCATCGAAAAATCTAAAAGTGAACAATAATGATTTCCATCTTTATTAAAACCATTAAATTTTCATAAATGATTAATGGATGTGAAAAATTAATAATCTATTACACTGGTTGACAAAGTTTTGCTACAAGAGTAAACGGTGGGCATTTTTTATAGGACTTTTGCCATTTGTTACGGATCTGTAAGTAAATTTTTCCCATTACGTCTCAATTTTGGGAAAAACGGTGTCAAAGTGTCAAAAAATCGCATTTTTGGCACTTTTGATAGCAGTATGGAAAATAAACGCGACGTGATAAACAGCTCAAATATGGATTATATGACAGCTGAAACATTTAACTTTAATCTCCGAAAGCAAAAAACCATGTAATGAAGCTTAAAATTATGGAGAACAGCTTTCTAACGCGTGCGCACCAAGCAGATTTTATTCCTGTGACACGGTGAGACAAATTATCAAAAACGTAGTAAAAGACAAAATATTTATTTAAATTTACTTGAAATTCCTTACTCGTGGGGGTTTTTTAGTATTCAGCGACCCCAAAAATCTTCGAGAAACGAGTTACAAGCGAATCGGATCAATTTTTTAAACTCTTCTGCCATATTGGATACGCAATATTAAATTTTGAAAAAGTAACATTGAGATTGTAATCAGTGAGCCCAAGAAAACTCATAAATGGTATTTTTAATAAAAAAGAACATTTAAATAGTATTTATCATATAACATAACAAAATAATTACGACTTTCAATTCAACTTTTTCTAAAATTATTTCAAAGTATTAATATCTAATAAATCTAAAATTATTGAATTTTATGCTTATCAAGGTTACATTCAGAAATATTTTTAAAAAAATTACAAAAAGTATGCATCATCAACTTTTGACCAAAAAAATGTGGTTTATATACTTTTTCTTTACATTATAAAATAAAATAAGATTATATGTTAGATGACGTTAATTGAAAATTTATATATAATTTTTTTAATTTTATTATAAAACAAATGTTATTAATTTTCTCAAAAACTCGTAAAGGTGGAAACAGATGCCGTACCTCTATGTCGCTGCTGCTGCTCGATTTTAGTATGGTCTTTGTACGGAATCAAGGTACGGTATCTGCCTCTCGCTTGAGGTACATATCCTATACTAACTCTCAGCGATATATGCTTATAAAATATTGTCACCTTTACTTTAAACGTTCTTAAAAAAATTAACACATTTTATTTTACAATATTATAGAATATAATAATATAGATATTTATCAGCGCTAGTTTTAAATATTTTTTTGAATATTAATTTTGAGAAAAAAAAATTAAAATCGTACCAGATTCGCTTGAAGCTTTCGGAGCTGGACTTAAAGTCTTTTGATAAGAATTATGATTTGCAGAGTGTGGAAGTTTTCTCTTCATATGCTTTGGCGGAGGACTATCACTTTCCAAAGAATCTAAAAGTGAACATCAATGAAGTCTATCTTTATTAAAGCCATTAATTTTTCATAAAAATGAATGATCAAAGAATATGAACAATAAATTATCTATATTATCATAATTAGAATTATTAAATTGTGATTTACAATTTGATTTCTATGTTTTTAATACCTCAATATCAGACTTTTTTTATATCCAGAAGCGTTTGAATAATTTCCTTGTCTGCATTTTAATTTTATTTATTTTTATTATTTTATAAAAGTAATGTTTGAATATTTCGCAAATAAAATGTCGATAAAAGCAATATTTTCATTTAAAAATTAACATCTTACATTAATGGTGTAAGTAACTAGTAAAGCTGAGAATGGTATTATTATTAAATACGAACATTTCAATTCTATTTAATATATGACTTAACAGAGTAATTAAGATTTTCAATTTACCCTTTTTTAACATTATTGTTATAAAATCATATCTAATAAATCTAGAATTATTGTATTTTAAGTTTATCAAAGTATAAAATTCAGAAAAAAAAAAAAGAATTTTAAAATTGAAAAACTTTTTCAATGTTTGACCAAAATATGTCGTTCGTAAATTTTTTATTTACATTTTCAAACAAAATAAATTTAAATATTAGATGATGTTAGTCAAAAATTCATATACCTATAAATTTTCTATTTTATTAGAAAATAAATTTAACACTTAAAGCGAAACGTCGAAAAAATTAAATAAACCGCACAGGTGTGTGTTTGACATCCTGAAATTTTAAAATGGGTTTTGTGTCTAGAATTAGATTTCGTCATTAAACAAAACTACCAACAGTATTTTATTACATTTATTTTTAATAAAAATAGGTTTTATTGTCATTTATTTAATCTTTATAATTTAAAAAAAATGTATTCCAAAAAAACCATGACAAATGAGATTTTCTACTAAAAAATGTATAACTATCACAATTTTATATACTTCTAAGTATAACTTTAACTATATTCTTCTGAGATACTACACTTTTAAGAAAAAAAAAGTAGCAGACTGCTCGATACAGTAGAAGATTGTGGTAAGCAAAAGGTAAATTTGGATACCAAACACCCACGGTGCGCTTTAAGGGTTAATTTATTTTTTTAAGAAGTCATAAAGTAAAGGTGACAATTTTTTATATGTATATATGTAAAAAATTGTCATCTTTACTTTAAACGTAATTGAAATAATTAACAAATTTTATTTTGTATTATTATCGGATATAATAACATAGATATTAATCAGTGCTAATTTTAAATATTTTTTTGAATTCCAATTTTGAGAAAAAAAAACAATTAAAATCGTACCAGATACGCTTGAAGCTTTAGGAGCTGGACTTAAAGTATTTCGATAATTATGACTTGCAGAGTGTGAAATTTTTCCCATCATATGTTTTGGCGGAGGACTGTCATTTTCCAAAGAATCTAAAAGTGAACATTAATGAACATTAATTTATACATATAAAAAATTGTCATCTTTACTTTAAACGTAATTGAAATAATTAACAAATTTTATTTTGTATTATTATCGGATATAATAACATAGATATTAATCAGTGCTAATTTTAAATATTTTTTTGAATTCCAATTTTGAGAAAAAAAAACAATTAAAATCGTACCAGATACGCTTGAAGCTTTAGGAGCTGGACTTAAAGTATTTCGATAATTATGACTTGCAGAGTGTGAAATTTTTCCCATCATATGTTTTGGCGGAGGACTGTCATTTTCCAAAGAATCTAAAAGTGAACATTAATGAACATTAATTTATACATATAAAAAATTGTCATCTTTACTTTAAACGTAATTGAAAAAATTAACAAATTTTATTTTGTATTATTATCGGATATAATAATATAGATATTAATCAGCGCTAATTTTAAATAGTTTTTTGAATTCCAATTTTGAGAAAAAAAAAACAATTAAAATCGTACCAGATACGCTTGAAGCTTTAGGAGCTGGACTTAAAGTATTTTGATAATTATGACTTGCAGAGTGTGAATGTTTTTCAATCATATGCTTTGGCGGAGGACTATCATTTTCCCAAGAATCTAAAAGTGAACATTAATGAACATTAATTTATACATATAAAAAATTGTCATCTTTACTTTAAACGTTCTTGAAGAAATTAGCAAATTTTATTTTGTATTATTATCGGATATAATAATATAGATATTAATCAGCGCTAATTTTAAATAGTTTTTTGAATTCCAATTTTGAGAAAAAAAACAATTAAAATCGTACCAGATACGCTTGAAGCTTTAGGAGCTGGACTTAAAGTATTTTGATAATTATGACTTGCAGAGTGTGAATGTTTTTCAATCATATGCTTTGGCGGAGGACTATCATTTTCCCAAGAATCTAAAAGTGAACATTAATGAACATTAATTTATACATATAAAAAATTGTCACCTTTACTTTAAACGTTCTTGAAGAAATTAGCAAATTTTATTATTCATTGAACATCGTTTAATTTTTTTTCACTAAGTGACAAATTAATCATAATATATTTTAAAATTTTATTATAGTCCAAGTCTCATTCGAGAGATAGATAACTTGTAGTACCGCTATTCCACACACGATGTCGCCGTGATCTTCAGATTTAATCTCTAAAGTTTGTCGTCTCTACATATACTATCCCAAGTTCCAATACTTGTTACCCTTCATAAGGTTTTTCGTGCACTAGGTCCCACATCTCAGTATTGTTAGTTTAAAATATCACAAATTTATAAATTTTAATTATAGGATAAAGTCGTAAAGGACGTCGAAGATCCAGATCACCAGCTATTAACGAATTGTACCGTCGAATTAAGATAATTTGAGGAAAAAGACACCGGGAACGAAGCAGGTCTCGTGAAGATAAACGACACCGGCCATGTGATAATTATCACGAGAGCCTATATTATAACAGGAGGCAAAGATTCTCTGCATATGATGAGGAATCATTAAGCGGCGATCATTTAGATCACTCAGGTATGTTACTCAGTGAGTTTCAAGTGGTTCACGATAAGAGATTATTGATGGAGAGCTCTCTCATCTGGAGAGAGACATGCCGGGCATAAAATGGCGAAACTACACGTTTGATGTAGAATAAGTCACGTATATTGAACTTGAGTTTCTACTAAGTTCATATATTTTTACACAATTTTTAGCGTCATCTTCACCACGACATGTAGATTCTGACAAACAGGTGATCGATTCTAACAAACAGGAAAATGATTCTGACAAACAGGAGATCGATTCTGGAGAAGTCGACAATGTGATTCAAGAAAAATCGAATACCTCAATACTTAAAGATGATTATATCATACAGGAACCTTTTGTTAAAGAAACACTTCAAATACTTCGTGATAAACTTATAAATGATGATTCAAGAAAAATTAATTTACGTTCAGAACTTGCTGATCGGTGAAAAGATTGAATTCAACATGGTATAAAAAAGAAGATAAACAAGAACTGCTAAAATTATACCCAAGAAAGGGTAATTGTCACCTAGAGGTACCTACTGTGAAATTAGAGGTAGAATCGTCATTGATCAATTTAACGAATAAGGATGATTCTAAGAATCGTGGTCCAATGATAAAATTTTGTCTGATGCTGGTAAATTGTTGTCAGATGCTCATTTCCAGATGAGCAAAACGCGTAAGGTATTTATTCACCCAAGTTTGGACAAAAAAGTGAAGGAACTTCTGACAAAAACAACGCCTGGCGAATTTTTGTTCGGTGAATAATTATCTATTAAACTGCAATCGGCACAGTCCATGGAAAAGGTTGGACAAACACTAAGGTACAGGCAGTAAACAAAGTTCCAGCTAAATCATCCCAGTCCTCGGGAAACTGGAAAGTCCCGTCTTGCAAAACCCAGAGTCAGTCCAAAACGGGATACAAAGGGAAACATTATCATCAGAGAACACAGTATTCTAGATATCGTCAAGAGAAGACTTCATGTTTTTATCTACTTATTTGCTTGTTTCCAAACCAAATGGGTTTAAGAGATTTATATTTAATTTAAAACATTTAAATAAATTCATTAATGATGATTATTTCAAAACGGAAGACATACAAACTGCGATAAAATTATTATCTAATAAAATGTTTGTGACTAATTTAGATTTGCAAGATGCATATTTATTAATTTCAATACAAAAAGGCAGTAGAAAATATCTTAGATTTTCATTCTATGGTGTATTAGGCGGCTTCCATAAATGATGTCACACTTCAAGGGAGAGGGTGGGGTCTAGAAATTTGTGACAACATATAGAAAAAATGGCGCTAATGTATGTGATAAATGTGACAAGGTGGAGGGTAGGTCAAAAATTCCCGAAAAACTCGTGACATTTATGGAAGCCGCCTTATTTGAATTAGTATGTCTTCCTTTTGGCTTATGTACTGCACCTTACATATTCACAAAGATTTTAAAGTCTGTTACTAATGTGCTGAGAGTAGATGGTTTTCTATCAGTAGTTTATTCAGACGACTGGTTATGCTTTGGAAAAAATTACAATCAATGTTTAGAAAATTAACAAAAAACAAAAACTACTAGAATCATTGGGATTCATTAATACAAAAAAGTAAATTCCCAGCAAAAAATGTAAATTTCTGGGATTCATTTTAAGTTCTGAAAATATGACTTTGGAATTACCAGAAGAAAAAATAACAGGTATGCAAAAAAGTTTAAAAAGAATTCAAGTTAAAAATAAATGTCAAATAACAGAATTCGCTTCCTTCGTTGGGCACATTGAAGCCTATTGTCCATCAGTCAATTATGGCTGGCTTCATTTAAAGTTATTGGAACAAGAGAGGTACTTAACTTTATGTAAAAGCAAGGGTAATTATGATGCTCAAATGCTATTAAAATCATTTCTTCAGATAGAGTTTGATTGGTGGTCAAAAAACTCGCGCCAGTACGCCTATAAAAATCCTCACTACCAGTTGGAAACTTTTTCTGTCGCTTCAACCACTGAATGGGGAGCATTTTGTGGGACGAAATTAACATCGGGTTTCTGGTCGAATTCAGAAAAGAAAATCATATCAATTACCTGGAATTACTACCGTGTTATTTAGGATTGAAGAGATTTGCAAGTCACTTGTCTAATTGTCAAATATTGTTGGGGATTGATTACACCACAACGGTGTCCTACGTCAATCGCATGGGGGGTATTCAATTTCGTCATCTCAACGAGATAACAAGAAACATTTGGTTATGTTGTGAAGAGAGACAAATTTGGATCTGCGCATCAAAAGGCAACGTCGAAGCTGACAATGGATCACGCATAAAAAATATTGATACTGAATAGAAGTTACCTGACTAGGCATTCCGTAAAGTGGTAAAAAATTGGTTTACCTGAGATGGTAATTGATTCGCCTCTATAATCAATGCGAAAGTATCAAAGTATTGCGTGTGGCATCGTGATCTAAATGCAATGATTGTCATAGTACCTCGTTAGTGTGACAATCGTGGTATCCACTAGTTATTTCTCTATTAACTTCTGGTAGGACGATTATCAGGGAGCCCTTCTTGAAAGGAGGAGTACCAGAGGCATCTATTGAATTGATGATAGCCTCATTATCAAACGCGACAGTCCAACAATATAATAGCGCAATAAAGCAGTGGCAGGAATTTTGTATCTCGCAAGATATTGATATTTTTCAAATTGAAGAAAATAATGTCCTTCAAAATCTAACTGACAGATATAACGCTGGTGCTTCATATGGAACCTTAAATAATTGATCAAGGCCACCGAAATCACGTTACGATGAAATTTGGGACGTATAATCAACGTTAAATTATTTAGCATCATAGTTTCCAGTAGATTCCTTTAAATCTTAAGCAGTTAGCCTGCAGATTAGTAGTACTTTTAGCTTTGGGAACAGCGCATCGAATTCAAACTTCAGCGTCGACTAAGATGATTAATATTACAAAAGATGGAGAAGGAATTCGTATAAAAATTGACGAGCTGATAAAAACATCCAAACCAGGTGCTCAGCAACCTTTGTAATTGGTACCGAAATTCAAAGAAAAACCTGAATTATGTCTTGCCTCTACCTTAAAGAAGCATATTATTCGTACGAAATCATTGCGAGAAAATTTTCAAAGTCTCTTTATTACAACGAGAAAATCGTTTGTAGCTGCAACCACGCAGACAATCGCTAGATGCATCAAAGTGGTATTGTCTGATAGTCGTGTAAGCAATAAATTCAGGGCTCAAAGCACACACCGTGCATCAACTTCAGCTGCGTTTAAGAATAGCGTGAATTTAGATATAATTAAAAGCACAGCAGGTTGGTCAAAAGAAGCCCATTCTTTTGCCAAATTCTATAACAGGCCGATCACGAAGGATCGAAGTCAATTCGCTAAAGCAATCTTATCGTAATAAGTTTTTTTGTCGATAATATTATTAATATCAGTTTTGTGTTCATTTAGCATTCTTATTATTATTATGTTAATACTTATGAAAAGTGTTTGTTTATAAACTTTTGTAATTACCCAAATATATACGAGTTTCTCACTATGCTCTAAACCCCTACAAGTTATTTATCTTTCGAATGAGACTTGGAAAATAATTGCGATATATAACACTTGGAATATAATTAAAAGATCAAACGAACTTATGTGTGAAATTCGATCTTAATTATATGTAGAGTCTCGTTCGAGAGATCTTATCCCACCCTACAAAGAACCGGCCCATAAAAATTAAGGAAGTGACTTTAAACGAGCTTGTGATAGTATATGCAGAGACGAAAACCTGTAGAGTTAAAATCTGAGAATCGTGGCGACATCATGTGTGAAATAGCGGTACTACAAGTTATCTATTTCTCGAACGAGACTCTACATATAATTAAGGCGCTTGTATACCTCCCCGTTCTGAATTTTCTAACTTAAGAATCAAATTAGAAAATTGTTTCTGTGGCAAATGTTTGAAGAAATTCTAATGCAACAGGCTCATCGCGCACGCGCTGCATTACCCTTTCTGCAAACATTTGCCACAGAAACAATTTTTTTACTTGGTTTCTGAATTAGAAAACTCATTTCTAGCTTAGAAAACTGTTTCACGACGGAAACATATTCAGAACGGGGGAAGTATACAAGCGCCTTTAAAATCGAGCTTCACACAGGTAAGTTCGTTTGATTTTTTAATTTTATATTTTTATCGGATATCACAATATGAATATTAATCAATGCTGATTTTAAATAGTTTTTTGAATTTTAATTTTGAGAAAAAAATAATTAAAACCGTACCACATTCGTTTGAAGCTTTAGGAGCTGGACTAAAAGTCTTTCGATAATTATGACTTGCAGAGTGTGAATGTTTTTCCATCATATGTTTTGGCGGAGGACTATCATTTATCGAAAAATCTAAAAGTGAACAATAATTAATTCCATCTTTATTAAAGCCATTACATTTTCATAAATGATTAGTGGATGTGAAAAATTAATAATTTATTATCAGAATTATTAAATTGTGCAATATTTTCTTTTAAAAATTAACATCTTACATTTATGATGTAAGTAACTAGTAAAGCTGATAATGGTATTTTTATAAAATAAGAGCATTTAAACTTTATTTAATTTATGACTTAACAGAGTAATTAATATTTTCAATTTATCTTTTTTAAAAATTATTTCTGAACATTCAGATGTAATAAATTTAAAATTACTAAAGTTGATTAAGGTAACATTTAGGAATATTAAAAAACTTTAGACATTTACATCTCAAGATTCTAATTAATTGAATTAAATGTTTGTTACGGTTAAAGTTAAGTATCATCTAAAAATTAACTTAATGAAGTAAAAATACTTTAAAAGCTTAACCAAACAATACTGCCAAGAACTTTTTTAATTAACATTTTCAAGTAAAATAAAATGAAATATTAAATAATGATGTTTAATGATAAAAAGAATTATCAATTTAATTTTAAATATTCTTGGAAAATTTAATAAATTTTATTTTAAAGGTATTATTATCGATTGATATAATATGAACATATATCATAATAGTCATGTTAAATGAAGTTCATTAAACTTTTATATCAAGAAAAAAGTAAGCAATTAAAATACCAGATTCCCTTGAGTCATTTGATTTTGTATAATTACGACTTGCTTGGAAATTAAAATTTTTTCTTTTCCTTTGCTTTTGAGGAGAACTATCCTGTATTGAGAGATCTACAATGGAATATGAAGTAAGAGTAATCCTGATGAATAATAGACAATGTTCATAAAAAAATATAAATATAGAAAAATAAACTAATACCAGAATCAGAATAATCTACTAGTTGTGCAAGGTTCTTCAATTTGGAATTCCCAGATTTCTCTATAGCATTAAGCATTTCATCAGTTACCAATTCTGTATTAAAATTATTATTTATTAATTATTAGAAAATTAAAAATAATAAAATAGGAAGTTAATAATCTCCCAGAGTCAATAAATGATAACTTCCAATTTTATTAAAATTTCACCGAACATAAAATTTACTTTAACAATATTAAAAATACAAATAGGTAATTTTTAATGATCGAACGTCAAGGGGCCTACCGGCAGGCCAACTTAGCCTTCCGGAAGTCTCTATTTCATGACGTTATACAACTAATATGAATTGAGATAAACAGAAAAAATTATACATGGTTGGAAAGGGTATTAAACAAACTTTTCAACGCACTAAAAATCATGGCTCTAAATTTAAATTCCAGGGCTGGGCAGCTGAAAGAATTTTGAACTTTTGAAGTCGATGTTCATGTCTTCGAAAAGTCTATTACAGTTGATTACAAGACAAGAATTACTCTTTATATTATATTTTATATATAATTTATTATTAGTTATTTCTTATATGTTTTTTTTAAGTTTAAATATTACACCGCGTATGTAAAGCCAAACCCACAATGCATGAGAAAGTCGTTAACTGTTTGGCTTTCCAGCAAAACATTTCTCTGGCCTTCCGGCAGGATAGAAAAATGTGCGGAGCGTCGGCCTTCCAGCAGGAAGGCCAAGCGCTTAGACATTCTATCATTAAAACCTTTAGTAGATTAAATTTATTATAATTTATGATATTTTAAATTTAATGCATATTTGACTACGATTGTATATTGAAAACCTTGTTTAGTGATTCTCGATGTAATCGACTTTTAAAGAAGAAGAACCTTCTACAAAGAAGATTCACCTGCGTTCAATAGTATACACACAAATTCAAGACATTAGCTATGTAATGCGTATTTTTTGAACTATTAACCCCTACATTGTCATTAACGTCTATATGTGTCAAAATTATAACGTTGCAAAAATTAAATTGATGACGCGTGACACTTTAGAGAAAAAATTTCTGCCAAACCAATTGTTGTTAAATTTGGTACACATGAGGGATTTTCGGGTCGCACTGAAAGAAGTGCATATAAAACACAACTCTTGTGAGAATTACACTCTAAATTTCAATCAGTCATATTTTATTGATTGTCAGTGAAAATCGTTGATTATTAGTGGTCGATTTTTCTTTACTTTGATCAGTGAAATATGACTGACTTTCAGTAAATATTCATCGAATATTCAGTCATTGAAATTGTCAGTCATTTAATGTAACTAAATGAATCAGTTAAATGCAGATAACAGATCATTCAATGAAACATGATTGATTTCCAATAAAAATAGTTTCTGAATAAATTGATGGACTACTCTCGTTATTTTGTCAGTAAGATTTTACTGATTCAGATTTACAGTGTATGGTTACGAAAAAGTACTAATAATTATAGCTTCTAAACAGTCGATTTTCGACAGACTATAACAGTAGGACTTATTAAACAATAGTCAGATTGACTAAAGAGAGTTGGGCTGAATCAACGAATAGAATATGTTATTAAATTAATAGATGGCGTCAGATGTCGGTCATCATGAAAATTACTGACTTAACACGTTTTAGTAGCACTTTATCTCTTCTTTTCGTGCGTTAATTTCAAATCAGAAATTAGATTTTCTAATTTCGGAATAGCGGATTGATTATATTGGACAAATTTAAAAAAAATTATTTTATGGAATTTTATACTTTAGTAATTGGCGGAAAATTTTAAAAATTGTCCATTCGTATTCTTCAAATCAGATTTAATTGTGTTCGACTGAAAAAGGCAGTAAAAATGGCGGTCAGAACTTATAATTTATTTTTAAAAGATTATTTTAGCAATTCAAACATTCTAAAATCGAAAAGATCACCCAGAATTCCAAATTTGTTGACTTTAAGTTTTGCACAAAAAATTGAATTAACATATACAAAATCGTAAAACATTGTCATATACGACCTCAAAAAGCAAAATATGAAAACATAGAGGATAACCAAATGGGTCATGTAGAAAATTAGCGCTGTATAGGAAAGCGCAGCACCTGTTGAGCACATAAAATTCTTTTACATTACTTCCTGAGGTCGTAGGGAAGACGAGGGTTAGCTTTAATTTTAAAAACTAAAGTTAAAATACATTTTGTACTTTTTTTGTATTCCAGTTTATTTGGAGTTGAGCATAGTGCACCTAGTAACCCCGACCCGGGGTTGCCTGGTAATGTTTCTTAAAAACAAATGTTTAAAGCTGAAAATTTCATATATGAGCTTTTCCAAAAACCATTCCTTAAGAAGATATACATAATTAAAAATAAAAACGTTAAAAATTTACTTTGGATTTCCAAAATCAATTATTTTAATCTATACTCCACAATAATAATTATAATTGTGGAGTATAGATTAAAATAATTACAAATTTGTACAAAGTATCATTATTATTCATTGATTATAATCAACGAATAATAACGATACTTTGTACAAACTCATAGTTCATCAAGTACTTTAACTTAAGTGGAGAAAAAAATTAATTCGAGTTTACACTCTTAAATAAACTTAAATGCGCCAAGCAACCCCTGTGCCAAATAGGTACGGTCTCCCCTATGATGTAATAAATTTTTAATTTATTGTGCGCAAATAAAGTTAAGAAATCCGTCTGACTTTTACTATTTTACGACAACCGTCTGAATTGCAAAATTAACCGTTTTGAATTAAAGTAAGTTCTAACCGCCATTTTTAAAGGGCAAATATTAACTTTCGAGGTCGAATAATCATAAAATTGTTTTCAGTTACCCGAAAAACCTAAGAGTAACAAATTTCAAAAAAATTTGACCGATTTGAAACAAGGTAAGGGAGGTTCGAACACTCCTTAGTAGTCGATCATTTTATTTTATTATTTTTAAAATTAAAGGAAAACTGTAATATAGACAATGTAAGAGCAAATTGTAATAACTCAAATATTTTAAAGTTCGCAATAAACAAAAATATCTCAAATTTAAGACTCTTAACTACCTTAAAATAATTTGATGTTTTGATGGCAAATTAAATATATCATTTCAAAAATAAGCTAATATTAATAGTGGCCAACTATTGCAGCGTTTGGCCGACTATTGTATTGTTATAAAATTTTATGAAATTGTTGCAATATTTCATTAAATAATGAAAATTCATAAAAATAAATAGACAAATATAAAATTTGCAGTATCGTGAACTCAAAAGAGACTACGAAAGTTTCAAATGGGTATTTGTTCAATTTTTTGAGAAAAAAGTAATTGTAGATACCTGTTCTTAAGTAGCTAACTAATGTTTAATTTACCTTGTTTTCAATTTTCTGGACAATTCAGGTCGACTTCTTGCATTTTAGCATAGCATAATACTCAGGGAATTAAGTTAAAATAATTTCAACATAATAGTGATGATTAACATTACCTGAAGCGAAAGCATCATAAGATCCTAAAGAATTAGATATCTCACGATTTCTTGAAACTGAACTACGTTTCTCATCTAATAAATTGTCGTCAATTTTTCTTGAGGTAAAGTAATTGTTCTTATTCCCTGAATCAGTATCTACATTAAAATTTCATAATAATAAGTATAATACATTAATAATATTAACACTTTTTGCAACTTCTATTAGGTCACAAGAAATATCAATAAAAGCTATAGGGTCAGATGGGGTAAATACGAACGCATATCCTAAGTTTTAACAATAGTAGAAGTTTTTTCTTTTAACAGATAATACTTCCGGTCTTCTTTTGCATTGAATTGTTATTTCACTTCCAGAGAACAAGTTTATGGAGTAGCAAACAATATAGATAAGCTAGAATCGCACAAAACTGACTGTTCGTATTTATCCCGGAATTTTGTAACTTGACTAAAATTTAGGGGTAAATACAAACACCAGTTTTTAGGAAAGGTTCAAGAAAAAAGTATTCTCAAGTATAATTTCAGGAAGAACGGACCTAAAACGGACCCAAAACGGTATGATTAGACGTTCGGTTGTGGACATGGTTTGGTTGTGGACACCCCTGCGTAAATTTTAGAAGAAAAGAAATGCGTCAAATGTGACAAATGTCAATTGTATGTTACTGCCGCACGTAGTTTTTTGTGCAAATATGAAAGGGAACAGGCGGCTGTAGTTCGTGTCGCGAACAAATTAAATTTTTATACGTCTAAAGCTACACAAAAGTTTATTTAAACATTTTTAAAAGTGTGGTTTCAGACTACGTTTCTTACGTCGTTTCTGACGTAAAGAAATGCGTATTTTTGGACCTAGAAATATACGTCATTTAGACTTCATAATTTTTAATTGGGATTCTTATCAATCTCTGATTTAAAATAATTTTACGTTTAATATATAAATATATAAATTTGCATTTTTTATGCAAAATTTGTTCTTTTCATTGCTTTTTCAATTTTTTTGATCTTTGTTTGTAGAAATACCAGTAATTAAATTTTTTTTGTAAATTCTCATCAATTCTCAAAGAAAAATTGAGGCGGTAATTTACCGCAATCTTCTTTAGGCGATTACCCACCTCACAATTTTTGGGTACAGCGAAAAATAAAAAGCCTATATTTTGTCGTCTAAAGTGTGAGTTTCCCGATACAGTGGGAATTCAGAATAGAAATCACCGGAAATCACTAATTTTGATTGACTCTGTCCCATGGAGATTTAGTGAATTCTATTCTGAAATTACAAAATATGCTTTTTATTTTTAGCTATGCCCAAAAATTGTGCCCCTCTTTTTATTGACGTAAATTATCGTCTTTAGAAAACTAGGCGCATTTATAGGGGAAGCGAGACTCGAGTAGTGGGGTCAACTGTTACAAAAAGTACGATTTCCTCTCCTTTTAAGCACTGGATATTTTAAAACTAATTTTCAATCGAGTTTTTGACACAATGTGTTATAGAAACATTATTTAATTCATTAAAACCCAAACTATACAATTTGATCGAATTTGATAAAAACAAATTAAATATATTATTTTATCTGTAACGGCACTCAATGAGAATCGTGAAAAAGTCACAGTGATGAAATAAAAGATCTGAGTGGATATGTCATAAAATAAATAGCTGATAGTGCTCTTCGTATTTACCCCAAATGCACAAAATTTAGGTATAAATACAAATAGTGCGACAATAGCAACAAAAAGTAGCAAAAAACCAAAATCAAACTTATTTTCTCTTCTACTTATAATAGAAAATAAAGGAAAATGTTGAAAGTGACATATTTCTAATTTGTATGCAAATACGAATAGAAATACTAAAAAGGTCCTTCATTGGTAATCAACTTTTTATGCATTCGGAGATAACTTCGATTATCTTGCTGCCAATATTGTCAAAATAAAAATTTGGCAATGCTCAGAACCTCTTATAGATGATCTAATGCTAAAATTGTCATGCCTAACTTATTTTTAAAATTTTTAATTAAGCTGAAATACATAATTACTGTTCGTATTTACCCCTTGTTTGTATTTTCTCAGCTGACTTTATTAATCTAAAATATTTTAAGGATTGGAGCATGCTGTACTTTACTTAAAGCGTGCAAAATTAAAAATAATTTTAATTTAATTTTCAAAAAACATATATATATATATATATATATATAGTCAAGTGGGCCTTACTAAAAATCGTAAATGATTAATAAATAGAATTTTGAAATACCAGAAGCACGAAGAGGGTTCTTTTGCTTAGGAGATGTGTGACTAACTTTTTTTACAGAGCATTGTTTGTCGTCATCCATTGAATCAGAAACTTCTACAGTTAAAGATTTAAATGCATTAAACTTAAGTGGTAGGTGAACTAATAACTAAAAAATAGTACCAAGTTTTACAAAAGTTTGCCAATTAAGGGGGCAGTCCACGTTCGGGCCGTTATTTCGAGCCTCTTTTTAGAAATGGTTTTGTGAAGAAACCACACACGATAATGAAAAAGGGTTTTTCGTCCTTTATTCTACCACTATTATAGTTTTAAAATATTATAATAATTAAAAATAATAATAACACACACGACCTTGAATCGTCCTTGACCGCAAAATGCCGCGACCAACATTTTGGCAATATTTTGACTACAAATTTTGGTCAATCGAAATTTTTTTTTAAATTGTTCATTAGAAATTTCTACAAGTCAGGACATGAGGTTTTTTAAAAAAAATTTCAAATCTCTCATTTTGGCAGTCTTTTTCTCAAAATAATTCTTTTTTGACCATTTTTTCGAGCTTATAAATGATGTAAAAATTACGCAAGATAATATTTTTAAAAAAGCTCGTGTCCTGACCTCTGTAGAAATGTCTAATGAACAATTTAAAAAAAAATTTTCGATTGACCAAAATTTGTAATCAAAATATTGCCAAAATGTTGGTCGCTGCATTTTGCGGTCAAGGACGATTCAAGGTCGTGTGTGTTATTATTATTTTTAATTATTATAATATTTTAAAACTATAAGAGTGGTAGAATAAAGGACGAAAAACCCTTTTTCATTATCGTGTGTGGTTTCTTCACAAAACCATTTCTAAAAAGAGGCTCGAAATAACGGCCCGAACGTGGACTGCCCCCTTAATTTTGCAGTTCTTCTTCGCAGTACACCGATGTTGGCACAATTTCGCAAAACTTGGATGCGCACGTAAAAATTTATTTTTACACGAAAATTAAATTAATACCTTCACCTAGACTGATTGCATCAAACTCCAGTCTACGAGTAGGAATCGAAAGAGGTTTCATGACTGCAAAAAAATTATTAATTAGTAAAGTCGTAACATTATGGTAACAAAGCTAGAAACAGAAGTTTTAACTAAACGAGTGAAGGTGGGTGAGTTTCTGTCTTTAAGAGTATGCAAACTAATGAAACGTGAACTAGTGTTTTTCTGTTAAGTTACTCGCTCACTTTAGAAGGCCTTAAAAAGATCAATTTTTAAGATTTTTTTTCTCAGCTCTGTTATTATAAAAAAATGTTAAACTTTTTTAAAAATCTTAACACGTATCTTGAGATTAAAAAAATAGTCTGATATTAATTTTTATTTCATTTTATAATCTGCAGATAGCGTCAAAGTTTAGCCTCCAAAATTGAATTGTACAATGGCAAACAGTTAATCCCAAGATTTATTATCATAGATTCAGCAGATTCGGAGAATAAGTGTCCGCCATTGGAAAATTCAATGTTTAACTTAGGCGTCATCTGCAGTTTATAAGTTGAAATAAAATTTAAGAGCAAATAATTTTTTTTATTCTCCAAATAACGGGTGTTACAAAAGTCTTGAGACACATTTGAATTTCACGCCAAAATCTTTCGAAAAATCGAAGATAATGGCCCATTGGAAACCATGTAAATGTGTTTTTTTTTAAATATAATAAAGTAAACTGAAGATTTTGCTCAGCATTTTTAATTCATTTCATTTATTTCTAAAGCCCACGGCTCTTTAAGTTCGTCTCAATACTTTTGTGACATCCGTTATTTATTAAGATCCTCGAAAAAGTTAACATATATTTATAATAACAGAGCTGAGAAAATCAATTTTAAAAATTGGTCTTTTAAAAGCATTATCTAAAGTGAACAAATACCTTAAAAACTGTTTGTTTACGTCTTTATTGTATATTGAACATTTATTTTTTCTTTTCGAAATCTGCACTTTTTAAATGTTTTTTTTATAATTTTGGAATTTTCAAACTTACTTCCTAATTTTGATTTTCTGTTATTTTCTTTCTCCTCCGGAGATTCTGAGAATGTACGATGATTAAGTAATGCCAATTTCTTTTTTAAAAATGTTTCCCTCTCTATATTTTTTTTTGATTTTGAAATCGCTAATTTCTTTATCTGTGACGTACAAAAATTTTAGATTGTGGGTTAGATTCGATAGTTTACCATAAAGTAAACTATAACGGATTAATCCAGTATTTTTCGTTGTGAGCGTTGTTGCGGTTAAACTTTTAAACAATCTAGTGTTTAAATATTTGAAAGAAAGTTAATAGGGACCTACGTTTCAAAAATACGATTTCGAGAAAAAGGAGTTTAAAATTAATAAGTTGATTTTGATGCTTCTGAACGTTTTTATGGCATAAAATTTCTTACTCTGGAATATTCGGGGTAACTGATTACGAATCTGGTATTAAATTTTTAAAATTCAAAATGGCGTATTCCATATAGCGAATCTCTTTAAAAATTGATCTGATTCGCTTGAAACTCGATAAACGGGGGTTTTCAAGGTTGCTGATTTCGAATCTGATGGTATCAAATATTAAAATGGCAAGTCCGATTAAGTTTTAGAAAAGTCATCCGCCAATTTGAATCTCGAAAGCTGATACCAGATTCGTAATCAGCGGACCCGAAAACCTCCGAGTAGCGAGTTCCACGCGAATCCGATTAATTTTCAAAAAGTCATCAGCCATTATGGTACCGCAATTTGAATTTTAAAAATCTGATATCAGATTCGTAATCAGCGACACCGAAATCCCCCAAGTAACGAGTTTTAAGCGAATTTGATCAATTTTAGGAAAGTTTGTCACATTGGATTTTTTGTATGTTTTATTGTTTCAAAGTATCCTACTTTAAACTGAAAAGAACGTACTATCTACAACAAACATCGCTAAGAAAGTAAAAATCGATTTTCTTACCCATAGATCCCTTTTAACTTTCCCTGTCACATATGTTAAACTTAAATATTTTTTAATTCAGGAATCATCATATTTTAAAGCAAATTTGTTTTGTAAATGAAATTAATAATAATAAGTAGGATGTATAAAACTTTATTTTTTTAAATAGAATTTAGTATTTTTTAAAAAACGAAGCGCTCTTTAGAATATAGAAGTGACATTTTTGAATAAGAAGCCCGCAACATTTATTTGGAAATATCACCGCTGAACGCTTAAAGCGAACATACTGTTAAAAAAATCGTCCAGGATGCCCAGCAAAAACATAAAATGAATTTTCCGTTTAAATTTATAAAATTCCCGCTTAATTTATCTATATATGTTTTTGATAATTTTAAATACTCATAAAAAAGTATGCAAATTTAAATTTATAAGAAAAATGTATATTTACAAACATGAATACATAAAATTCCCGTTTGCAGAAAAAATCCCGTACATCTCCCGTATCAAAATAAATTCCTGTACAATTCTCGCTTTTCCCGAATTTCCCATGGACACCTTAAAGGCTTTATCACAAGGGGCAGATTGGCGAATTAAGCAGAATAGATTTCAGCCAATTAAAGTTTAGTTTCTCATGACAAACGTTACTTGACCGCTAAAGTTTAACTTTATATTTGCTGAAATCTATTCTGCTATTCTGTCCCATGTGATAGGATCCTAAGTGCATAACATTTGACGCTTTATTTAAAAATTATTTCGAGCGGATCAAGTTTTAAAAATTGATCTTTAAATACTTGATCAAACTTTATAAATTATTGTAATCTTATAAGAAGTATAAGTATAAATAATTGTTCAAACTTTTTAATTGTTTGGTAATTTTATTTGTAGTAGGAGAGACCAGGGAACTCTGTTACAGTTTTCAGAAAATATTTTATAGTGACTAGAGTTTCATTTTTATTTCTATGTCAATATGGTAAAATCACAGCTATATTATCTGGTTTTGAAAAGGCATAAGTGTTTTACTTCCATATATTATTTAATTAACTAGAAGTATTTAAGTGTTGGCGTGTAAAGTGTAACAATAGTCCCGGTGTCAGGGTCAATTGTTACAACACCAAGAATCCTCTAAATCAAAGACAAATAATTGTTTTTTGACATTTTTATTAATTATTTGTAATTTACAGTAAACTAGATTGGGGCGAGATCACTATTTGGCTTTTATTTTTGTATTTTACGACTTAGAAATTTGATTCCATGCCCACTGGAATAAGTGTAACTGACCCCAGTGGGCACAGGGACATGGGATGTCTTAAAGGCGTCTTTAGGACGTCCATGTCCGTCCCAAGGACATCTTATTGACGTCGCATGTATAAAAGACGTCTTTAGGGCAAAAGATGTCTTTAAGACGTCCTTAGGACGGACATGCACGTCTAAACGACGTCCTAAAGACGTCTTTAAGACATCCCATGTCCCCGTGCCCACTGAGATGGAAGTGTGCGCACATATGCCTTGAATTTCAAATCGATTGGTAATAAAGCAGACAAATTACAATGCAATTAGTGAAACTGAAATTTGTTTCACAATTTTTTTTAGATTTTTTTATTTCATTTCGAGAATAATTTCTAAAAATAAAAATTAAGGATAGGTATTTTTTATTAATTTGAGTCTTCTGAATGCGTTAGTGTTGTTTATTTAGCTATTTTTTAAAATCTCACCCCAATACTTGGGGTGAAATCACTATCTGCAACGTTCGCGTAAAATGGCTGTAGCTCCGAATCATTAAGAGCAGTGCCGGCTTTAGGGTAGTGCGCGACTGTGCGGTCGCACAGGGCGCCAGCAATTTGTTTAATTGATTGGGGGCGCTTTCAGAAAATTTGGTCATATATGCTCGCACAGGGCGCCGAGGTAGCTAAAGCCGGCACTTATTAAGAGATCAAAAGTTGTGTTTACGGAGTAAAATGTAGCCAAGGAGACTATCTTTCAAATCTTTTTTACTTTTTGTCTTCACGGAAAGAAATAGTCCGCGAAAAAGTCGGGAACTATTCCCTGACTCCAGGATACGACGTCAAGTCTTGGAGATGTTCAGGAACATTCCCCGTTATTGCATGAAAGTTCAGAAGAAAGTAAGGAAATGTTCTAGAAAAACCTAAAACTGATACAGTAGTTTTTTTCAGTAATTTCTCAAAATTAGTTCATATGTATTTCCTGAAGAGTCGACAACTTATTATAAAATTTCGAATGAGTATTTCTATATTACATTCCTAACTTTATGCTTTTGCTCGCAATGGAAAAATGTAACACGCGAACCTGAAAAAGTACGGAACTAGTTCGTGACTCTGGTGCACAGCTGCCCGTCGCGCTCCAGTCTCAACCAGTGAGATTCTTATTTGAAAAATATGCTGGAAATACCACTTGGTTCTATAGCACAGTGGACACATGCTGGACTTCTGTCATCAGGTACGCGAGTTCGATCCCGCCCGGCGTCGATTTTTCTCTAATATGGTTTTTCTGTTTCAGATTCTTCAAAAAAATTCTCTTATACGTGAAATGTGTGTTAATTTTATATATGAGGGATTCTATATGAAGTGATCAAGGATAGAATTAGGATACCCTTTACTTTAATAATTTCTATCTCTCACACAATTGAATAAAAAATTTTTTCCAATATCAGTTTTAATAGGTTTTTTTATGCCCTTTTGATTGATAATATGCATTTTTGAAAAAAAAAATTTTTTGACCAAAAAAAATGAAATTTTTGGTCAAAAAAATATTGGTTGAAATAGAAAAATATTTTTACCAAAAATCACCATCTAATAGTACTACAAAATGCCCTATGTTTGGGCATGATAGGAGAAAAAACTTTTTTCACCTTGATCACTTCATATGGAATCCCCATATATATAAAATAGAAAGAGAAAAAAGAAATTTTTTTATCTTTCATTTAACCCTGAAATTTTTATAAACAGTTCCGGACTTTTTTAAATCAGGCTCTTTATGAGAAAGTCATATTGTAGCTCACCAAGAAATCATGAAGGTTCTTTAAATACTTTCGAAAATGTTCACTACTTAATCAAAAATGTCAGTTTGAATTTGTCATGAACCAGACACGATATCTTGGACTTCGGAACTAAGTTCCCGACTTTTTTCTGAGCTATTTCTTTCCGTATTTATCGGCTCAGAATTCGGAGTTACAGTTCAAAAAGCGAAAAAATGTAGTTCTTGCCCCAGTCTACCCTACAAAAGAATGATATAACAATACAAAACCCAATATCTTGTTTCAATTTGAATAAATAAAAAATAAAAAAAAAAATTTTATTCCGCACTGAGAAAAATAATAATGTAATGATAATAAAATAATTTGGTGGAGCACTTTTAGTTAAAATTACAAAAATTTAGTTGACATAACAGTAACGAAAGAAGCAATCAATCGAGAAATTTAGTTGGCTGTAATTATTAAAAAAGAAACGAAAAAACTAAAGTATAAAATCCTCGTGTATTCCGTAAGCATTATTGAAAAAGAAAAAAGAAAATTAGAGTATAAAATCCTCGTGGATTCCTCGCGGATTTTTGAAATACAAACAAAAAAATTAGAGTACAAAATCCTCGTGGATTCCGTGGGAATTATTAAAAAAAAACAAAAAAAATAAAGTATAAAATCCTCGTGGATTCTTTGCGGATTTTCGAAATACAGACAAAAAAATTAAAGTATAAAATCATCGTGGATTCCGTGGGAATTATTAAAAAAGAAACGAAAAAATTAAAGTACAATATCCTCGTGGATTCCGTGAGAATTATTAAAAAAGAAACGAAAAAACTAAAATATAAAATCCTCGTGGATTCCGTGGGAATTATTAAAAAAGAAACGAAAAAACTAAAGTATAAAATCCTCGTGGATTCCGTGGGAATTATTAAAAAAGAAACGAAAAAACTAAAGTATAAAATCCTCGTGGATTCTGTGAGAATTATTAAAAAAAAGAGAAAATTAAATATAATTAAAAATTCGATTATTGGCAATCTTTTTGGAACTCAGTAAAAGACAAAAACATATCTTTTTAACGTTTCGAGATCGGTACCGACCTCCTCATCAGAATTTATTAGTCTAGAATACAATATAATATAATATAAAGAGAAAATTAAAGTATAAAATCCTCGTGGGTTCCTCGCGGATTATTGAAATGCAGACAAAAAAATAAAAGTACAAAATCCTCATGGATTCCGTGAGAATCATGAAAAAAGAAACAAAAAAATTAAAGCAAAAAATCCTCGTGGATTCCTTGTGGATTTTTGAAATACAGACAAAATAATTAGAGTACAAAATCCTCGTGGATTCCGTAGGAATTATTAAAAAAGAAACGAAAAAACTAAAGTATAAAATCCTCGTGGATTCCGTGGGAATTGTTGAAAAAGAAAAGAGAAAATTAGAGTATAAAATCCTCGTGGATTCCTCGCGGATTTTTGAAATACAGACAAAAAAATTAGA